ATTCAGAAGTTGGCCGAGAACGCTATCAAGATGAGTTGGGCGAAGGAAGAAGTGAAGAGCCATTTATTGGAGTTGTTGTACGGTATCGATCCAGGTACATAGATGGTCTGCGATGTCGTCGCCTTGCGCTTATGCAAGAAGAAAATGATCCAATCGTGACAATATTATGAGATCATGAACCTTTTCCCACTGAGTAGAAGAGCTCATCACAATCGCTTTAGGACCTTGGTGTCCAGACGTAGGCGCGCGACGAGGACAAGGAAAGTGGCGAGAACACCCGTGCCCGCAGCGTAAAAGATAGCAGCCCTGTACGGCTCAATCGACGTTGAGTCCGCCGCACCAGTCGCTTCAATCAACAGCCCCGCAAGAGGAGCGCCAAGGAGATAACCCGGAGTCCAGAAGAAGACCATCAGAGCGATGGATGCCGCGGCGGAATGTGGAGCGACGACTGTGACGGCGACCGGCAGGCTGACAAAGAAGCTGCCATTGGCACAACCGTTTACGATAGCGAAGACGAACAGAGGAGCCAAAGACGTGCTGACTGGCCAGATGGCTAGCATGCTCACTGAGTTGACCAGGCAGGTGATCATCAACGTGTTGAAAGCCCCGATCTTGTCGCATGTCCATCCGCCCACGATACGACCGACTGCTGTTGCAGCACCAAATCCACCAACCAGTCCAGCACCAGTCCCAGCTGACAGGCCGATCGAGCTCGCGAACAGCGGCAGGAAGAAGGGCGGTACGAATAGTGCGAAGACCGCGACTGCTCCGGCCATGGTCAGCGTGAGGAAAGGGACGTTCTTTAACAGCGACCAATCGAACCGCGAAAGCGTGCCAGTCGTCGCGCGTTCCTTCAACGCCAATGTACACGGAATCCCAGTCGCCATAATAAGAATGCCCAATATGCGAAACGTCCACTGCAGTCCAAACTTGTCGATGAGTGCCTGCGAAGCAAGCGGAAGAACCGTCGCGCCAACACCACCACCGGCCTTGACGACGCCATTGGCAATACCCAGCTTAGAGCTGAACCACTGCAACGGCAGACTATTAGTCGCCGCATACAACAACGACGTCCCCACGCCCATCGACAGCCCCGCAATACAGAACAACCCGCCGAGATGATCCAAGGTAAAACTCGTAGCAACCAGACTCATTCCGAAAAGAATCGTCGCAGCAAGGCCAGTGTATCGCACACCAAAAGACCTCATGACTCTTATTCCCCCGATGCCAAAAGCGACCATGACAGCCATGTACAAACTGCCGACAAAAGTGATGGTGCGCAGATTGGTGTTTAGCGCGGGCGATTTCAGGATGGCAGTTTGGAGGACGCCCCATGCGGTTGTGTAGCCATTGATCCAGAAGAGAAGGAAGGAGCAGGATGCGACGACGGTCCAGCCGTAGCCGCCGTCTGGGATGGCTTCTGCTGCATCGGCGGGTGGCTGCTCGGAATCACCAAGGCCGGTTGGCTCAGTGTCCTGTGAGAGTGGAAAAGAGGGTTTGCTGGGGTTCAGGTGAACTTGGGAGTCTGCTGGTGAGGAGAGGTCCTGCAGGGCGAACGTAGTTTGAGTTGTTGACATTTTGTGTTGGCCTTGTCGTGTTGCACGGGTAGCGCCAGGCGCGTTCCTTTATGTCGATGTCAAAGCGAGAAGATCGAGGTACTTATCTACGTCATCTGGTTAACATGTAGGGCGTAAAGATGAACGCCAGGGCGTGAGTATGCAGCGCTGACTTTTCGCTTCGAGTCAGAAATTTGTAATGCGCTACTATAACTGTACCAACTGATCCTTCGCAGTAGCGCATGGTGAGGGAGTTAGCAAAATCGGGTTTAGTGCCCGAGAAGAGTAGTAATCAAGATGCTGGAGCTTCTGTGAGTACCGTATTGTTTGTGGGTCGCATGCGCAGTTTCTGCGTCTGCGTCTATGAGTCTACCACGGATTTTGCATGGGCGGAAGATTCCAAGACAGCCTCGCTTGACTTGAAGGTGACTCAAAGTGTCTCGCTTCATCTGCCGCATCTCGTCTTATCAGTAGCGAGAGTCAAAGGCGATGCAAGTCAGGTGTAAGTCTTGCTCAATGTGGTTCAACAAGCCAGTCCAGCCAGTGGAAGTCGCGGTATTGTATAGGCTCAAGGACGTCTTGGTTACCTGCGGCAGATACCCGCGCACAGCGATAAGGCAGAGCACGTGGCCAGATACGATGCGCCCAAGTTGAAGTCTGGGCGGCAAGAGCGTAGGCGCTAGAAGAATGCAGGGCCGAGTAAAAGCAATACCTGACGCGAGCCGTATAGAGTCAACCCATCGCTCCTTCCTTCCACGGGTGGCCGTGATGATGCGGGGTCAGCGACGTTTGAGTGCAACGGACAGGCTGGATGAGGGTAAGGAATGCGACAAGAGAGATGATGTGGCGCAGCATGTCGAACGTGCCACACTGTATACGTGGACGCGGATGATTCATCTGCTGTGCACTGGATGTGTTGGTAAGTGGCGGTTAGTGAGTGAAGAGGAGATCAAGTATTCCACAGTTGGCTTGGCGTGAGCGGGACGCGTGGTAGTAGATCAATGGCTTTTGCGACAGCGACGGCGATGGCTGTAAGCCCGTGCAGTAAGTGAATGCATCCCCGTGACATGTGGCGATGTTGTGAATGTCGTGTCGTGTCGTGTTCTTGATCAAGGTGTCGCCAAGGGCGGACGCGTCGGGTGCCAGACACAGCCACAGGCAATGACATAATCCCCGCCTCGGCCGCCCGCCATGCTTCCTGCCCATCGCCATCGGCAGCGCAGGCATAAGCAACGCAGCCGCGCTCTTTCTCCGTAACGCCCTCTACCTCATACTCTCCCCCCACACGCGCGCCAAGATGGGTTTCAGTCTCAACAACCCGCTGCCCTCGTCCATGAGCAGTAAGTCGAGTCACATGCCGCCCGCGTTGTTTATGTGCGGCTCGCGGTCCGGTGACGTCGCTAACAGCTGTGCTCGCAGGCGAATGTCGCAAGACAGGAAAGATTCTAGCATCCTTTGTCGACCCCAGACAGGCCTTTGGGCCTGATAAGATTATCCCGCCCAATGTCCTCGCCAATGCAAAGGTAAGGACTCGATGCGCATCCGGTGTCACGAAGCTGCCCAAGCAAACACCACAGCAGACAACAACACATGATGAGATGCTGACACATGCTAGGGCCTCGCAATCCTCACAGTCTTCAAGGCCGGCTTCCTCGGCACAGCACGATTCGGATCGGGTGTCGTCGTCGCCCGCCTCGCAGACGGATCGTGGTCGGCTCCCACAGCCATCGGAACCATCGGCGGCGGCTTCGGCGGACAGATTGGCTTTGAGCTCACCGACTTCGTCTTCATCCTCAACGACGCATCCGCGGTCCGTACATTTGCGCAGGCAGGCTCGCTGACATTGGGCGGCAATGTCTCCATCGCGGCGGGGCCCGTCGGTCGCAATGCCGAGGCTGCCGGCGCGGCGAGTCTGAAGGGCGTGGCTGGTATTTTCAGCTACAGCAAGACAAAGGGACTGTTCGCCGGTGTCAGTCTGGAGGGAAGCGGCATCATCGAGCGGAGAGATGCCAACGAGAAGCTGTACGGCCGCCGATGGACTGCCCGCGAGATCCTCAGCGGACAGGTTCCCCCACCACCAGCCGCCGCGCCACTCCTGCAAGTGCTCAACTCGAGAGTCTTTGCCGGCGTGGGAGGCGCGCAGAACGTTACCAACGACGCCATGTACAATGACATCCCCGTCTACGACAACTCGCGCGACAACGTAGTGTGGCAGGGCCGTGAGGGCTCCGCCATGGGCGAAGGCGTGCGCCGTGACCGCACCGGCTCCATGGGCCAGGCACCCAACGACTACGAGTACCGAGACCGACCGCAGCACTCATCTACATGGGCGGACGACGTATACGACCGACAGCCGTCCTCGGCACCCGGCGGCCTCAACCGCTCCTTCTCCACACGTGCGAACCCCACCGAGACATTCGACCGCATGGACAACCGGAGCCGCTCCTCCACTTTCGGCGACGACTACTCGTACAGCGACCGCAAGCCTGGCCGACCGACGGCGCCGAAGCCAGTATTTGGACAGACCACGGGGCAGAAGAAGGCTGGACTACAGTCCGACCAGGCAATTGCCAAGTTCACCTTTGACGCGGACCAGCCGGGCGATCTCGGCTTTAAGAAGGGAGAGATCATCACAATCCTGAAGAGGACGGATAACGAGACCGACTGGTGGACAGGCAGAGTCGGAAGCCGAGAGGGCATCTTCCCAAGGTAAGTCGCACACGCCATGCCATCATGAACACTTCGCTGACTGCCACAGCAACTACGTCGAGACCGTATAAAGTCGTTCCTGAGATACCACAACCACGACCACGTAGACTGTCACACCTCGTTTCATTTCTAGTCTAGCGACATTCTTCAACTTCCTTTCCAGCGGTCGGCATTTAGCACCTTGCTTGCTTTCGCATGGCCTGGCGTTTCTTCTTGAGTTCCTTTCCAGTTCTCCTTGTTGCCTTTACCCCAGATACCTACGTAGCGAAAGAAGTTGAATCACGAGATGTAGTAAGGTTCATTGTCATGTGTGGAGTATGGACGAGAACTATTTGGAGTTACCCCGATTGCCGAGGTGGAGCTGGTCGGCTGAACATCGTATCTACGACCCAGCGATCGCTCCAACCCCCGCCTCAGGCTGCCCCTCACGTTCACCCTATGCGGTATGCGCATTGGCAGGAGAATACCCTGCATTAACCTACTAAGACGTGTCAAGAAATGTGAAGCTACGCTAATGTAGAAGGTGCTTAGAACAAATGCTCGATAGCTACCCCACTTGGCCATTGGGTAGCTTCGAAGCTATCAACGGCGTCAACCCCCAACGTCATTCCCGCGGCTGCATCTCTTAACTCCGGAACCGCTCTCGTGCCCAGCTTACTGTAATACCTCCCCTCAAACACCAATTCTTGCGGGTAATTGCCTCTGTCTCCTCTACATCCAGCTCAAACCGACATCATGACGACATCATCGTGGGAAGAGACCGCTAGTAAGAAGCGCGAAGCTATGTTGGCTGCCATACCCTCGGAATGGCGACTAGAAAAGGTGCCATCGGTGGAAGAACAAGTCGATGTCACAGACTACGTGAAGCAGTACTTCAGCAAGAAAGAGCTGGACATCACTGGAAGCAGTGCCGATGTGATCGCAAAGACTGTGGCTGAGGGAAATTGGACTGCTGAAGAGGTCACGAGGGCATTCTGTCACCGAGCTGCAGTTGCGCATCAATTGGTACGTCGCACATCCGATACGTGCAGTGAATGATGCTAAATGGACAGCTGTCATGTCTTCACGAGATCTTCTTCGACGCGGCCATCCGGGATGCAAAAGCGCTCGACGCGTACTACGCAAAACACAAGAAGACCATCGGGCCCCTTCATGGCGTACCCATCTCACTCAAAGACCAGTTCCATGTCAAGGATGTCGAGACCAGTATGGGCTATGTCGGCTGGATTGGCACCTTTGAAGGCAAGAAGGGTACTGGCAAAGAGAAGGTTTTCGAGAGTGAGATGGTGAAGATGCTGCGTAAGGCGGGAGCTGTGTTGTACTGCAAGACTAGTGTGCCGCATACGCTGATGAGCGGGGAGACCATCAATAACATCGTTGGGTTTACGCTTAACCCGAAGAATAGGAATCTTACAGCTGGTGGTAGCTCCGGTGGCGAGGGCGCGCTGATCGGTATGAGAGGATGTAAGTGGGCCACCGTCTGAGATATGGCAACTGTTCCGCGCATTTCCTTCCACGATGGAAACAGTGGAGATCACTGACATTACGCAGCGCCCTTAGGATTCGGCACCGACATCGGCGGCTCCATCCGCATCCCCGCCGCCTTCAACGGCCTCTACGGCATCCGCCCCTCCACAGGCCGCCTCCCATACGAAGGCATGGCAAACTCCATGGACGGCCAAAACACCGTCCTCTCCGTCGTCGGGCCCCTCGCCACAAACGCAGCCTCCCTGCGCCTCGCCACCCAAGCCCTGCTCGAACAAAACCCCTGGCTCCACGACCCCCTCGTCCACGAAATCCCGTGGCGCCCGGGCCAAGAAGCCGAGATCAAGTCCGCAAAGAAACTCTCCTTCGGTCTGTTAATGACAGATGGTGTGGTGAACCCCACGCCCCCCGTCCGCCGCGCTATTGAAACAGTTGTTGAGTCTCTAAGGTCTGCTGGTCATGAGGTGATAGACTGGCAACCCCCCTCCCACCGCACCATCAACGACGTCGGCTTCCGTCCCTGGATCTACGACGCCGGCAAAGACGTCAAATCCGCGTTTGCGCTCTCCGGCGAACCCATGGCGCCGCAAGTTACCTTTTACCAAGGTGTCGAGAAAGAGTTCAGCGCTACGGATATCGCGGCTACGAATGTGGAGTTGAGGAAGCTGAAGAAGGAGTACATGGAGTACTGGAATGGTACGGTTGATAAAACGAGTACGGGGAGGTCGGTTGATGCGGTGATTTGTCCGCTTGCGCCGTTTCCGGCAAGTAGGAGGGAGAGGTTCAAGTATTATGGGTATTCGACTTGGGTTAATGCGTTGGATTATACGAGTGTTGTTGTGCCGGTTACGACTGTGGATAAGGGGGTTGATGTGAAGGAGGAGGGGTATAAGGCGCTTGATGAGCAGGATGGGAGTATTCAGGATGATTGTAAGTGTGCGCGGAGATCAGGGGGGTCGTGCTTGAAGGGAGAGTGGTGTGCTAACGTGGATGCAGATGATCCCGTGATCTATGACGGCGCGCATGTTAGTGTGCAGCTTGTTGGACGGAGGTTGCAGGAGGAGAAGATGATTGCGGTTGCGGAGTTGGTTGGTAGTATTATTGGGAAGTAGGGACCAAGGTATATGGTACGCTTTGTCGCGCGTATCTGGTTCTTCTCGCGAGAGGTGATATTGGAACCCTTCTCATCTGACCGGGTTTGGTCGCATAGACATGGCATGCATGCAGCACACAACGAGCACGTTCGGTTTTGAGATGTTTCACGACCACGCTTTCTATGGACACTAATTGGAGGCGAAGACCAGCTACGACTAATTCATTAGACGCGTCTATTGTCTAGAGCTGCTCTTCATTAACTAGCACGAAAGCCTAGTGTTGCGGAACGACTGGTCGACGAAGATTCGTCGCAGTTCCTCATACTACCCAAGCAGAGGCTTCTGCTTTCGCATCAAGGAGAAACGTCCCGCGGAACTCCTAAGAAGCACGTCAAAAGAAGGTTGCTAATACTACCGAAGCAAAGGCTTCTGCTTCTGCACGAAAGGGAAACGCCCCGCAGGCACACCGAGAAGCATGTCAAAGGGAGGGTTGTCCAGCACGAGAAAGCGTTGCCCGACGCCCTCTTCACCATTCGGCAGAGGGAAAGAGAGTTCCACAAATTCACCGGTCGACGTATAGCACTTCGAATCCCAGATTATTGAGCTTACTGTTGCAGTATCGAGACGCGCTGCAAACCCGAGTCGGTCGATGACATCGCGAGAGACGAAGTTGTTTCGTAACTTTCGGGAAAACATCACGCAGATCTTGTCCGGCCGCCCACTCCAGTTGGAGACGATCGGAATGTCTCGTTTTGCTTTCAATAACGACGAGATTTCCGATTTTGCAACCTTGCGCACAGTCAGCGACATCACGCATGATAGAGGTTTGTTGACTTACGACATCGAAAGAACTAGGCCGTCTCGCTAGTCCTGGATAACGAGACTGTGTCGGCGCTAAAGAAAGTATAGGATAAGCTGACCCGATGTTTGCGAAAGCTTTTGCGATGTCGCAGTAGCATAAGATAATAATACGCTTACTAGCACGGAGTTAATGTAATTCGTTAATATAGCATTAGAGATACTAACATGTTATAGCTGCTAACCTTTTCTGCGACGTTGCTATTAATTTACAGTGTATTATTGTACGCTCTGTTTCTAGTAATAGCTAAGGTATACGTTAATTATTTTACTTTTATAGACTATTTAAGCGTAGATAAGTCTAATCTAGTTATAACCTTAGAGAAGTAAGAAGACTAGCTAGTATTACTTCTATAGAAGCTACTTATAATTAGAGAGAGTAGATTTAGAGTAAGAGGTTTAGAGTAAGTAAGTTTAGAGTAGATAAGTTTAGCGCAAGTAAGTCTATATATATTTAGAAACCTTATTCTATAGTAGAATCTTATATAATCTATAAATATAACTATCTTATATACTATCTTATACACTATCTTATATATTATCTTATACACTATCTTATATACTATCTTATATACTATCTTATACACTATCTTATATATTATCTTATATATTATCTTATATACTATCTTATATACTATCTTATATTCTACTAATAAAAAGATATTTAGTAATAAAGCTATCTTATATAATAGTTTAGTTACTTTCTTAAAAAATTATATTATAAAATATAATATATAGATAATACTTTCTTATTTACTATCTTATATTTTATTTATAAGTAGATATTTACTAATTAGGTTTTTTTATATTATATCTTTTATCTTACTACTAAAAGTCTATCTAATAGTAAAGCTATCTTATATAGTATTCTACTTAGTGTCTTAAATTATTTATAAATAATACTATCTAATATAATATCTAATTTATTATATTAAATAAATTACTAATATAAAAGAATCTATAAATAATAGTATCTTATATATTATCTTATATATAGTCTTATACTTTAGTAGTAAAAAGATATTTACTAATAACGCTATCTTATATAATAGCTTCTTTAGTATCTTAAATAATTTACTTATAGAAAATAATTTATAAATAAAACTATTTTATATACTATCTTATATACTATCTTAGATACTATCTTATATACTATCTTATATACTATCTTATATACTATTTTATATACTATCTTATATTTTACTAATAAAGTTAATTTTACTAATAACACTATCTTATATAGTATTTTCTTTACTATCTTAAATAATCTACTAATATAAAATAATTTACAAACAACACTATCTTATATAGTATCTTCTTTACTATCTTAAATAATCTACTAATATAAAATAATTTATAAATAACACTATCTTATATAGTATCTTCTTTACTATCTTAAATAATCTACTAATATAAATTAATTTATAAATAACACTATCTTATATAGTATTTTATATTTTACTAATAACTTATTTTTTACTAATAACGCTATCTTATATAGTATCTTATATACTATCTTATATTTTACTAATAAATCTTTTTTTACTAACAACGCTATCTTATAAAATATCTTCTTTACTATTATAAATAATTTACTAAGATATAATAATTTATAAATAATACTATCTTATATATAATTTTATATTTTACTAATACATCTTTTTTTACTAATAACGCTATCTTATATAATATCTTCTTTAGTATCTTAAGTAACTTACTAAGATTAAATAAATTATAAATAATACTATCTTATATACTATCTTATATCTTACTAATAAAAAGATATTTACTAATAACGCTATCTTATATAATATCTTCTTTAGTATCTTAAGTAACTTACTAAGATTAAATAAATTATAAATAATACTATCTTATATACTATCTTATATCTTACTAATAAAAAGATATTTAC